TAAGAAGAGGAAATTGGGACACAGACACACACAGAAAGAAGCTCTCTGCAAGCCCCAGGGAGAGACCTCAGAAGGAACTAGCCCTGCTGAGCTGTTGGTCTGTGATTCCAGCCTCCAGAACTGCGAGAAAATAATTCCTCACTTGTGTCTCTTGATCTCTGCGGACTCGCTGTTGGTGACTTTTTGTTCCTGAGGCTTGTGAACACTCAGGAAAGTCTCCTGGAGCTCCATTTCCTCTCTTGAGATGGGGCTCGCTCCAGCAGGGGCTGGGCAGTCTGAAGGGTAGTCTGTCCTGACCTGGTGCTGATGCGCCTGAGTGGAAGGAAGAGAAGAGATTCAGAGCCGGGCAACAGGGTCTGGGAGAGGGCAGCCAAGACCAGAATGGGAGTGAGACAGATGGAACTTTGACCTTTTACCCATTCGATTATTCAAAAATAGTTGATAATTGAGATTGCCCCATCCTTAGTGAATGTTTATATTAATCACATTGTATTCTAAAAAAATTGAGAGGAGAGGATAGTATTATCCTATTCATCTTACAAATGGCAAAACTAATGCTAAGAGAGATTACGTGCATTGCCCTGAAGACACACGTCTCTCTACATGCACCCCTGAGCCAGTACTCACACCCAGCTCTTTCTCGCTATAGCGCCATCCTCTGTTGGGGCCGTGTGCCAGGTGCCGTGTGTACAGTGATGAAGAAAGCAGACTCAGCCCCTGACACCATACAGATGATGGTTTCCTAGGAGAAGCAGTTACTAAACAAATATAAAAGAAATACAATTCAAGTTCTCAATTTGAGACAGGAGAGATTTTGAAACAAAGCAGGGGCAAGGGGGCACACCCAGTTTTCAGACAGGCTCTAGAAGATGGACAGATAGCTAGAAGATAGCAGGTTCTGAAGGAAAGATGGTAACAGACACCTTGCCCATAGCTGCTCCCTGCCCTCCACACCCTCAGGCTACAGACTCATGAAACAGAAACCCTCAAACAGCAGCTCAGAGAGGCAAAGACAAACAGTTCTCAGATCAGGAGGAAAGGGCTTTGCTGTTGAAGAGCAAATAGAAGAGAGGGAGAAGGCTGCCCAGAGTGAGCAAGATGAAAGCCAACGACGGATCAGCTGTGCTAATCTACTGCAGCCAAAACACGAGAAAGAAAGAATCGCGTCTGTGAATAATCACGGCTACAGTATTAGCGTATGGATGAAACTCACCCATCAAAAGACAGACAGAGATTTTAATGGAAACAAGATGGTTATTTAGTGATTTATTCCAGAAATATTTACTGAGTACCTGCTGTGAGTTGTGAATCAGGCATTCCTCTAGGCCCTGGGGATGCAACAGGGAAGAAAATAACATCAACAAACCACCCTTGGGACTCACTCGCTGGAAAGGGAAGGGTTCTGACACGTGGTAATGAGTCCTGTGCTCAGTATGCCCAGGTGCTGTTTTAAGTACTGCTCACAACTACTCGGTGACACAGGGTCTCCTCATATCCCCCTGTCACAGAAAATAAACAAAGGTCAGAGAGGGCACCTCATTCATTCAGGGTCACACAGCTCGTCAGTAGGGAAAGGAGGCTTAGATGTAGGCAGTCTGGCTCCAGAGCTTTGAACCACTGGGCTCGACTGACTACAAGAGACAGTCATTAAAAAAAAGTTCACTGAAACTTTGAAAGCAAAGTAATGGAAAAGATACATCCTGATTCCTGGCATCCACGATTCCATCCCCAGGATTCCTGATGGGGGCTTAGCACACCCTGAGGACTCCATTCCCAAGATGGACCAAGGAGAAACAGGACAGGGAACTAAGTAAACTGAATTTTAAAAAAATGATTTTCTGTCTCCTTGTTCTACCAGTTATTGAGAAAGGATTTTTGAAATAATCAACTATGGTTGTGGGCGTGTCTATTTCTCCTTGCAGCTCTGTCAGTTTTGGTTCATTTGTTTTGATGGATGATGCTCTGTTGTTGGCGGCATACATGTTTAAGATTTTTACATCTTTTAATGAAGTGATACAGCCAGCTATACAGAGTACATGTTGCAGATTCCATTTCTACAAAGTTCCAGAATGGGTAAAACTAATCTTTAGTGACAGAAATCAGTGATTGCTGGGAAGGGGGCATAGACTGGGAAGGGGAACAGGGGAATTTTGGGAGTGATGGAAATGTCCCTCATCTTGATTGTGGACATGGTTACAGGGTGTACACATTTGTCAAAATTCATGTAACTTACACTTAAATGGGTGCATTTTATTCTGCGTAAAGTATACTTCCATAGATTCAGTATTGATAATTAAATAAACTTGCCAGTAGATTTGAAAAGTGCAGAATGGGGTGATGAATTGCGACTGTGGGGTTCTTGGCTCTCTGCCCTAGGGCCCATGTCTTCCACTTTCCTTGGACCTAGTGGGTCTGACACAGACTGCGTTTGGGTCATTACTTTTCCCCAGTAACCAACACCAGAAGGAAAGGCTATCATTTCCAGGGGAAAATGATAATCACATCATGAGGCATAAATACCCCCTGAAAAACAAGTGGACTACGTACTTATCCCACCAGAAGTAGAGCCATCAGAGCAGGTGAGTCGATAATTTAAAATGACCACACGTGGAATTCCGGGAGTGTTGGATGTAAACATGGAAATGCCCAAGGGCCGTTCCCAAGGGGCAAAAACCAGGGATAATGTTGAATGCAGCTCAAATCCCCTCACTCACCCCAGAGCCTGAGCCCTCGACTGAGTTCACGTCCTCTGTGCTCTGCACTGGCTGCGCTGCCTTCTTCCTGCAGATCTTCACTCTAAGGGAACAGCCCCGGGCATTTCAGCCTGGTTATTTGGGGCCTCGAGTAGGCAGGCCACCCCCTACTCCTTGTGAAGACCTGGGAAGTGCTGAACGAGGTAGGAGGAGGTGGGGTCAGTCTCCAGATGCTCCCCCAACCGAAGAGCTGGAGCAGAGGCTGGGAATAGACCCCATGCTTGGCCCTGTTGGTTACAGTCTGATTCGTGCCACCGCTCAGCCTCCCTTCCCCGGCTCCTGGCTTTCCAACCAGTCCAGTTCCTCCAGCTCAGGCTTTTTGACATTCTGAGACCTTATGCCCTTCCCACCCCAGGCCTCTCCCTCAGTCCCTGGAGCCCACTCTCACCTGAAGATGAGAAAAAGGCAGAGAGAAAGCAGGGCCACGATGCCAGCTCCCCCGACTGCTCCCAGGACCCCCTCAGCCCTGGGTTCTGGTTTACCTGCAGATAATTTGACTTTAGGGTGAACTCCAACCCCCTACGCATAGCATCCTCCCAACTGGCCACTTCTCTCTCTGTCTGTTCCCTGAGTGTACCCAGTCCTCAAACAGGACTCAGTTGCTCTGCATTCCATTGTGCTGTAGACCCTGGACCAGCCCCTTTTCCTGGCCACAGGGTTGAGGATCTTACACCCTCAGCCACTCTGGTCCAGGCCTTGAGGTGCCTCTGCTCCAAGCTCCATCTCTCTGGGGCTGTTATGGGTTAAATTGCTTCCCCTTCAAAATTTAAATACTGAAATCCGTCCCCCTCACTGTATCCTGGCCACATACCTCAGAATATGACCTTATTTGGAGACTGGATCTTTATAGTGGTAATGGTAAAATGAGGTCATTAGGTTGGGCCCTTATCCAATATAACTTGTGTCCTCATTAAAAAGGGGGAATTTGCACCCAGACAGGGAGAACGCCTTGTGAAGAGGAAGACAGAGATTGGGGTGATGTTTCTTTGTGAAAAGGAAAAACAAATATTGTCAGCAAACCATTAGAAGCTGAGAGAGAGGCCTGGAACAGAGTCTCACAGCCTCAGAGGGAACCAGCCCTGCTGACCCCTTGATCTCAGGCTTCTGGCCTCCAGAAATGTGACATGATAAATCTCCATTGTTTAACCTCCTGTCTGAGGTACTTTGTTAGTGCAGCCCTAGGAAACTAAACAAGGTCCTAGGGTCCTCACTCCCCAGGTGTCACCCCTCGGCAGAACCCTGACCTGGCAGGAGCAGGATAGCGGTGCTCCGGGCCCCGTGGACATTCCTGGCCTCGCAGCTGACTCTGAGGCTGGAGCTGAGCTCCCAGCTGAGACTCAAGGAGCTGTTGGCCCAGGGCCCGGAGGAGCTGGAGGTGATGGTGAAGGAGGCGTTGCTGCTGTTCCCCTCCAGCAGACGCTCCCCCAGCCGCCAGCGCACGGAGGGGGCCGGCTGGGCTCGGGAGGAGCAGCCACAGTGCAGATCCTCATCCTCCCAGGAGCAGGAGGGTCCCAGCAGCTGTGGGGGGTCTGTGGGGAGGGATGAGAAGGTCAGCAGTGCCGCTCTCCTCCCCAGGACCCAGCTTTCCTGCCCCAGGGGTCCCCACACTCACAGAGCACAGAGAGGCTCACAGAGACAGTTTGGGAGCCCAGCGGGTGCCGAGCAAGGCAGGTGAAGTCTCCTCCCGTAGTCCCTGTTCGAGGCAGCTCCAGGACGGCGCTGGTGGAGATGGGGGTGGCGTTCAGGGCTGGGGATCCCCAGAACCAGCTCAGCTGTGCAAGGGGGTTGCTGTCAGCGACACAGAGCAGCCGCACAGCCTGGCCCTCCAGGATGGGAAGGGCTGAAGAGTTATGCAGGATCATGAGGGCTTTGGGGAGAGAGATGCAGAGAGAGAGACAAAGACAGAGATGGGGTGGGTGAAGCTGGCATCTCTCTCCACGCTAACTCTGAGGAGGGGACCAGAGGAGACCGGGCCTCAGGCCTTCAGAAGATGCCTAGACGACTTCCCTGGAGCTGCTCAGAGTGTCGGGCAGATGAAGGACAGAGGGCTCAGGACAGGGATGGAGGAAACAGCTAATGGGTCATGAGGGGCCTACAGAAGAAGGAGGAGATAAAACATCAGAGAGGAGGGTGAAGCTAGAGGGATGTGATGGCTTCCTTTGGATTTGGCCAGAAAAACTGTGGGTGAGCCAATGATTAACCTCAGGGAGTTGGGATTTGTAGGGCTTTACCCCGTGCTCTCCCCATGTCTGACCTCAGTAGCTGGCTTCTCACTTTTCTCTCACTTGGTCCCCGGCCAACTGTAGCACTAGATCCAGCTAGACCCTACGTCCATCCCAGCTCTGGAGAGAAGAGGTTCTTTCCTACCTGTGCTGTTTCCTTGGGAGATGCTGATGGCCATGTTCTGTGGAGCATCTGGGACAGAAGGATGTAGCAGCCTCAACATCCATGGCGACAGATGGATTGGGCATTTTCCCTTAGGAGTCACGGAAACAGGTAAAGGGGGCTCCCTTCCTGTTGGACTAGCAGGACCCCAACATCAAGCCCTGCCCCAGCTCTGCCCTGGCCCCACCCCCTCAGGGACCCAGCCACCCTGGCCCAGCACTCACAGGTGACATTGAGCTGGATGTTCCTTTCCACAGTCACACCAGCTGCAAGGAACTTCACCTGACAGGTGACGCTGGTGCCGTGGTCCTGAGGCCGTGGAGTGAGGGTGAGCACCGAGGAGAGGCGGGCCCTGGGGCCCAGGGAGGTGAGGGCAGCTGATGTCCAGGAGAAGGCAGGAGCAGTGCCTTGCTCACAGGCCCAGGGCACAGAGCAAGTCAGGTTCCTGGGTCGGCCGGACTCCAGGGGCCCCAAGATATGGATGTGGGGCCTGTGGGTCAGGGCTGGAGAGGAGACAGAGGAGGTTGGGTCCCCTCAGCATGTTTTCAGCCTGCTCCAGGGTCTTTTCATGACTCTCCCCACCCCACGCCACCCACAGGAGGGACAGAACCTTCACTTTTCTCTTTCAGGTTCCCCACACTCTGGGGCTTTTCCCTGGGCCCCTACCATACCTGTCACATTCAGAGAGAACATCTTATCTAGATATGAGTGTCCCCTGAAGGAGTCCTCCATACGAAAGAAGTAAGTCCCACTGTCCCCTAGGTTGACGTCTCTGATACTCAGGGAGCAGTTCTGGGCATGGGGGTCTCCCAGGAGGAAGAACCGGCCATGGGTGCTCTCGTGCAGCTTCTGGTTTGGTTTGTTAGTGGCCACCAAAGGATCTTGGTGTCCATCCATCCCTTTCCGGAACCAAAACACGTAAAGCGTTCCAAAGGCAGTCCAGGGATAGGAAAAATTGCAGGGCACGAGGACACACAGGCCCTCCTGCACTGTCACGGACTCTGGTAGCTCCAGCCAGTAACTCTGACCTTGAGCCATGGGCACTGGGGAGAGAGAGAAACACAAATTGGAGCTCCAGAGCTTCCCCAGAGTGGGGTTCCCTCTCCCCTTGACCACTTACCTCCCCACAGCATGGGCAGCAACAGCAGCAGCTGCAGCGACATCCTGTCCTCATGCCCTGGTTTGATCTGCCTTCCAGGGTCCCTCTGAGAGAGAAGAGAAAGTCGCAGATGTGAGAGGGCAGAGGAAGCTTAGAGGGGAAGCCTGTGGTAAGAACAAATGGCCAAAAGCCCAGAAGAGAAACTTCAGACTCCCTGAGTCAGCTGTGACTGTCCCCTTTAAGATCACCCAGGCCCGTTTCTGCATGTGACAGATGAACCCTGAAGCTCAGAGAGGCAAGGGGCTTGCCCAAGTAAGGCAGCAAGGAAGGATGAGAGCCACCAAGTCCTGCTTCCTGGGCTCATGCACAATTGAATGTGCTGGAGAAGCAGGTCCCAGCTGGCCAGCTCCCAGAGAGTCAAGAGTGCATGGAGGGCAGCTTCTCTGTGAGGACAGCCAGGGAAAGTCTTTCTATTTGCTTGTGATTGGGCCTGAAAAATCACATATACGTTTTTAGCTATAGGCTGAACTCCTCTGAGGGTTCTATCCACAGACCCAGCACCTCCTAGAATGGTCACCTATCATGTAGGGCTGGGGTCATGACCTTGGGACCCTAACATCTGGGTGACTACTTAGGAATGGAGGGAAGGCTTGTGCTCCAGGTGGGGAAAGAAGCATCCTCTTATACAAGCTGGCGACAGTGCTATTTAGACCCCAAGATGGTTGCACTTCAGGCGAAAGTGGTGTAGATTTGGGGTATGTGATGCAAGCTGGAGAAGAGAAAAAGACTCAGACCCAAGAGTGTGATCCTGTGGGCAACCTCCACATCAGCCTCCCTCTCTCTCAGCTCCATGATCCTGATCACCTCCCCCACCCTCCAGATAAGGAGCAGATGTGTTCCTGTCTCTCGGGTTCTCTCCCTGGGACACTTGGTTACTTGTCACCTTCAGAGACAGTGTCATATATTGGCAGTCATATTTCACATAATATTTCTCTATCCTAAAGTCCTCCAACTTTCCCACATCTTGGAAAATCTGATACCCAGAGAGCAACTGTGGGTCCCTGCGTACCCGAGGAGGTTGAGTTGGCCCTAGATTCTCTCTTCCAATTTTTAGTAGGGCCTATGACCAGAGGGGGATTATGGTGTCTGTTGGATACCTCCAGAGTCTGAAAGTGGGAGGTAGGTGGGCTAAAGTCAGTCCAGAAAATCCATGAGCCGGGTTGAAGAATGGGATAGGATGCACAGGCAGGCCCTCCTTCACGGTCACTGACTGAAGGTTACAGATTGTCCTGCACCATCCTTCAGGGACCACTGCAGGACACAGAGTCTCTGACTGCAACCCTGCCTGGAAAGCTCTGCCTCAGACCTGTTGCCCTCACAGTTGTGGCCACAGCAGCGGCAGCATCTCTGGGCTGCAGAGGATCATCTAGATTCCCTTGATACCACCTGATCAGCCTCTTGCAGCTGGGAGGTAGGGGCACCTGTGGGGTGGTCAGTGAGCTGGGGGCTCTTTCTGGATTGAAATTATGGTTTCTGACCCAAACTTCTCCCTTCAACAAGAATACCACCCCGCTCTCAGGTCACTGCAAGGGAAGTGAAAGCTGAGCTCTTCTGGGACCACAGCAGAGTGGAGCCTTCCTCCCTTCTGTACCCTGAAATGCCACCAGTGACTTCCTGAAGACCAACTCCCACTTCCCTCAAGAGAGATGTGGAGTTTGATGGTCTATGTTTCCCTGGATAGGTTTCTCGGAGCCTCTCTCATGGGGACAGAGGTGTGAGAGACCAAGACTCTCCTGAGACTGAATCCTGTCTGTGTTGGACCCACTCCAGGGCTGGAGCACCCTGGAGGCCTCAGGAAGCATTGAGTGAACTCTTGAATTCATCTGCAAGGAGAGAGTCTATGAACAGAGGCTGAGACTGAGCCTGGAGCCCTGACTCCAGTGCCAGACTTGGATGAGCTGTTTGGGTTCAGGGTGACATAGAACTTGTGACTGAGCCTTTGTTCTTCCTCACATTTCCTGTGAGCCCTGCACATACATATACAGAACATCTCTCCCCATTTTCTCCACAGCTCCTCCAGCCTCCACAATTCTCCTCCATGGGGTAACCACCTAATTCCCCTCTCCTTAGTGATATCCCTCTTGTAGCTTCGGTCTCCTACTGACAGCAATCCATCTCTGATGTGAAAGAACTCTTTTCACAATCTAAGCAAGGTTCCTCATGTGCCTAAATACTTTGAATATCTTCCATCACTTCCTAAAGCAATGCTTTATTTAGCCTTCTGATATTTCATTCCTTTATTTATCTGGTAGACGTTGAGGCATAATTTTTTTTTAATTGTCAGGATTTGGCACAGAGGTAGAGGCAGTAAAGGACCACAAGTCTTGTTCTCTGTCCTCCAGAGCTCCATTTGGGTACTGACCGGAGACTAAGTGAGAGAAAGAGAGGAAGAGCAGGAGAGAGTGGAGGACAGAGAGGGAAAAGGAGAGAGACAGACATAAGCGTGTTGGGGAGAGAGGCCCTTCCTGTCTGTAAGAGAAGGAAGAGGCGGGATGGGGGATTTCCCCAGACAGGGAGGGATTTCTGAAGAGATTGGAGGTGGAGTCTGCCCTGAGAGGCAAGAAACCAAGGGTATGTGAGAAGACCCTCTCTCATGCAATGTAAGGCCTTATTTCCTGGGGGTGGCAAGGAGCCGGAGAAGGGCTGACCTAGATTGAGAGGCTTCTACCCTGTTCACATCCAGCCCCCAAGCCTCTTCCAATTCTTCCCTCAGGTTCGGCCCACAAAAGGGGTTCTCTTTTCAACAAAGACACTGTCTGGTCCTTGGGGAGCCCCAGAAAGCAGAGATGGTGCTGTCCGTGGTGCTGAAGCAGAATTGAATCACTAGTTTAGGAATAACTGGGCTACGTAGAGGGGTCTGACTAGACAGGAACTGGATCTGGGCCTCAGGTCAGGAAGGCAGGTGAGTCAGAGATAACAGCCCACCTTATGAGGGAGAAAATCAGAGAGGGACCTACCCTCTGGTCTGGGGGCTGGGCTTCCCCTGTGTCCCTTTTTCTTTACTCTCCAGAATGTCCAGTGGACTCTGCCAAGCCACTGAATTAAAGCCAGCAGCAGCCCATCTCTAGAGTTCTTCTTATGTGAGAAAGTAAAGCCCTATCTGTTAAAGTTCCTGAAAGTCGGCCTTTTTGTAACTTAGAACAAAACGTTTCTAATTGATGCAATAAATGGGGAGAGGAGATGATTCTTCCAATTGCGTTGGAAGTCAACATGACATTTCCCAAAAGTGGCCTACTCACTTAAATCTCCCGAGGGCACTTGAAAGTGCCTGATATGACTGACTTTTCTCACTTTTCCTAATTCAAGATTAGAGAAATAGTTTTTATCCTTTCTTTACTTTGCATCGATGTGATTATAACTAACTTTTACCGTCTAGTTTTTAAATTAACTGTAATCTTTCTTTGTGAATTTCTTTCTTTTTTTTTTTTTTTAAAGATTTTATTTTTTCCTTTTTCTCCCCAAAGCCCCCCGGTACACAGTTGTGTATTCTTCGCTGTGGGTTCCTCTAGTTGTGGCATGTGGGACGCTGCCTCAGCGTGGTCTGACGAGCAGTGCCATGTCCGCGCCCAGGATTCGAACCGACGAAACAGTGGGCCGCCTGCAGCGGAGCGCGCGAACTTAACCACTCGGCCACAGGGCCAGCCCCTCTTTGAGAATTTCTATTCAAAGCATTTACACACAGGGACCTTGAAGTTTTCCTTATTAACTTCTCTAAAGATATTAATCTCATCCCTACTATTTACCTTAGAGAATAATACATTTTGCCAATAAAATATGCATCCCTAAATTTCAAAGTTTAGGTTTCACTATTTTTGACCTTTATTTAAATGGCATCACACAGTACGCATTTTTTTCCTGGCTACTTCCACTCAATATTAGTTTAAATTTTTTTTTATTGTAAAGAATACAACATGCAGAAGAAGATACAAATGGCTAAGTGTGCAGCTCAGTGAGTTATCACAAAGCAAATACAATTGGTTCACAAAATAAAGTTTTGCCAGCTCCCAAAATACCTCAACAGTTTACCATTCCACCACTGGAGCATGAGGATCCTACTTCCTCACATCTCTGCAACACTTGCTGTTTTCTGCCTTCTTGATTTTCCAGTCTGATGTGTCCGGTGTAGCGTCTCATTTCTGGTTGATTTTTTTTCAACTAGAGTGAGTTTGAACATCTCAACATGGAGTTGTTTTCCATTCATGCTTCCACATTTGTGAAATAAATATTCATGTCATTTGCTTAGATTTGCATTGGCTTGTTTTCCTTTTCTTATTGATTTGTGAAAGTTTTTGTACATTCTTGTGAGCTTAATAAAGGAATTGATTTCTCCCATTCTGTCATTTCTCAGTTAAATTTGTCTAGTTCTCCTCTATTTGATGGAAACCTTTGTTTTTTCTTTTAAAATGGGTGCATTTTATTGTATGAAAATCATGCTGTAATCAAGTTGATTTCAGAATTGATTAAAAATTCATAAGAAGAGTTTCCAAGCATTGCACACATAGTGTTAAATGGTAATTTCAGAGATATGATGTTCCTAGCTCTGCCAGGCAACATAAATTATCTGACTTGTACTGCATCTCACTTTTTTCCGCACTTAAAATTAACTTTTGTCATTCACACTTCTGATTTGGCTGTAGTATCTCTGATGGTTCCTTGCAGCCATAGAGTCACCTTGAATTTTGTGATATGTTTGCTCATGTGTCTGTCATCCAAATGGGTATGCATCTTGATGCTAGAAGAAATGGTGCTAGGAGGGACATCCATCTCTAGTGATAATTCATTGAGCATTCATTTGGCTATACTACAGTAGTCAAGAACTAAGGGGACACCTGGGTTGAAAATAGTCCAGTTGGGTTCTAATTTTGATTTATTTTTCATCCAATCTATCAAGCTACACGCCAGTCAGCCAATCAGAATTGATTAACTGTACTTTGCACCAGCCTCACCAGTGCTGACTTCTGGGTTTATGAGGATGAATATGACACAGTCCTACCCTTAAGGACC